AAAAACGGTCAGCGCGGCGCAGTACCCGTACCGTCAGCAGCTCCAGTACCTCCAGCTCTAACGCCTCCAGTACCAGCAGCACCTCTAGCACCTCCAGCACCAGCAGCACCAGCACTTCCAGTGCCAACAGCTCCAGTAGCACCTCCAGCAGCACCTCCAGCACCAGTAGCACCACCAGCTCCGACAGCTCCAGCACCTCCAGTACGAGCACCTTCAGGACCAGCAGCTCTAGCACCTCCGGTACCTCCAGCTCCAGCGCCTCCAGCACCAGCAGCACCTCCAATGCCAGCAGCTCCAGTAGCACCTCCAGCACCAGCAGCACCACCAGCTCTGGCAGCTCCAGCACCTCAAGTACGAGCACCTCCAGGACCAGTAGCTCCAGCAGCTCCAGCACCAGCAGCACCACCAGCTCTGGCAGCTCCAGCACCTCAAGTACGAGCACCTCCAGGACCAGTAGCTCCAGCAGCTCCAGCACCAGTAGCACTAGCACCTCCAGTGCCAGCAGCTCCAGTACCTCCAGCACCTCTAGCAGCACCTCAAGGACCTCCAGCACCAGCAGCTCCAACAGCTCCAGTACCTCTACAAGCACCTCCAGGACCAGCAGCTCCAGCAGCTCGAGCACCAGTAGCACTAGTACCTCTAGTACCAGCAGCTCCAGTACCTCCAGCACCTCCAGCAGCACCTCCAGCACCTCCAGCACCAGCAGCACCACTAGTACCTCCAAAACCCGCACCCCCTAAGCACCCCCAGAACCCGCACCACCAGTGTCACCACCTGCAGTAGCACCAAAGTCCACAGCAGCAGGCTGTGGAGGCGGCGAAGACGGCCGAGGCGAAAAACCAGGGGGGGGTCTCCAAGCGAGGAGAGTGGCGAGTGGCCACCGTCTCGACAGCGGCGGGGTCACCCCCCTCAGACGGGCCAAAGGAGTCAGAAGAGATCTCCAAAGGCTCAACCAAGGGGGGTGGGTCTACGTGAGTCACACCTATGGGAGCAGGACCCTGTGGGGGGAGGGGGTCTACCGGGGGGGGAACTGGTACCAGGAAGAGAGGCGCCAGGGGGACCGGGTGGGACGCGTGCGGTTGGAGCCTGTAGAAGCAGACCGACTCGTCAAAGGTGACGTCCTCGGAGGAGAACACGCGACGGTCGCAAGGGTGGTAAAACTCCCACGACGGGGCATCGGTGGGGAAGCCAAGGAAGTCGTAGCGGAGAGTGCAAGGAGAGAGCTTGCTCGCGGTGGTATCGCAAACAAGGGAGAGCGCGCCCCAGACCCGAAACGCCGACGCATCGCCAACCTTTCCCGTCCAACGGAGTGTGGGCGGGTCTCTGGCAAAGAGACACGGGGCCAGATTTTGAGGTGATGTGCGGCGTATCGGACCGCAAACGGCCACAGAAAATGGGGAGCAGTCGCATGGATGATGGAGGTGCGAGCAACCTCCATCACCAAGCCAATGCGGCGCTCTGCAGCCCCATTCTGATGTGGAGAGGCCGGAAGCATGAACGTCTGGCGGATGCCCTGGTCTCGACAGAGATTCACAAGGAGGCCATAAGAGAACTCACCGCCCCTGTCAGAGTGCAGATGTAGGACTGGAAGGTCCTGCCGAAATTGCTCGTGCAGGTGGAGACGAGCAGCGTGGATCTAGGGGATCAAAACACCAGTGACGTCCGCCTTGCTGCGCAAGGGGAAGACCGTGGTGTAGCGCAAGTAGTCGTCAACGACCAGCAAAAAGTAGCGCTCCTTGTCCGTCCCACTGACGCGGGTTGGGCTCCTTACGTCCATGTGGAGAGTTTGCAGAGGAGCAGTGGTCGAAGGAAACTCGGAGCAATGAGGAGCGGCGCGCTACCGCCCCTCGGCGCATGGAAAGCACGGCGGGGCAGGCGAGCGTGGGAGTGGGGGCAGTAACCTGAGAAGGCCTGAGAAAAGAAGACGGGAGTGCATGCTGCGCAGACGCAGCAGAGAGGGGTGACCGAGTCGGTGGTTCCAGAGGAGATTCTAGTGGGAAAGTACATGACACGAGTAAGACGCTACAAGCTGACCAGATGCACACACCTGACTCGACGCATCCACCTGACCTGACGCAGCCACCTGTGCAGACGTAGTGGTCAGGGTGTACAGACTGGACCCAGACTGCCGAGTGAACGTATCAAGGTGACGTCCAGTTTGGGAGGACGTACAGATCGCCACACGCTGCCCTCTAGGGATAAAGGTATCAACCCAAACATCTTGAAGGACTGTGTTGCTCACCAAGTTCGTCGAGAACGAGGGGAGGTGGAGGCCTGAAAGAGAGCCCTAGAGGACTGCCAGACACGGGAGGAGAGTGGAGGCTCGCGCTACTACTGGGCCCCCAGTGGGGTCAGCCAGTGATGCTGGGACAGGTGCTGCGAGCGGTATGACTGTGGTTCAATCACGAAAGAAGCAACGTGACGCTCCTGAGTCAAGTGTAAAAGTGTGCAATGCCTCAGCTGAGGCAGGACCAGTGGCAGTAGACTCACTACCACCTAGAGCTGCAGCAGACTCACTAGCACCTAGAGCAGCAGCAGACTCACTAGCACCTAGAGCGGAGCCTCTACACAACAAGGGACGCCTCGCTGAGAAACACAGTCGTGAAGCCGCTGCAGGGAGAAGGTCTCCTGCTGCCGCCATTGTCTAGACCATATAAAATCATAACCTCCACCACCAGGATGGCCTCGCTGAACGATCCACTCACGAATCTGCTATGGTGAGAGAGTGTCCAGGTGCGCGGGCTGTCGCCACTGTCCAGCACCTCCAGCACGATAACCTCCACCACCAAGACGACCTCGCTGAATAACCCACTCGCGAAGCTGCTACTATGATAGAGTGTCCGGGTGAGGCAGTGGCTGCTGTTGTCCACCCCTAGACGCTGCTACGACTATGACAGTGGCCATGATAGGGAGTGGCAGTCAGTAGCAGCGACGCAAGGGCGGTAGTAGTGAATGTTGTAGCTGCAACTGTAGCAGTAGCTGCAGCTGTAGCAGTAGCTGCAGCTGTAGCAGTAGCGGTGGTCGCTGTGGCTTTAACAGTAGGAGCGACAGTTGCAGTGGCTCTGGAGGCCAGTAGGGTGCGTGGGCAGCAGGGGACGGGCTAGCGCAGTAACAGCAGCAGTGGCAGCAGTAGCAGTAGTAGCGCTAGTGGCTGCAGGGCAGAGCAGCACGGGCCGAAGGGCAGGGCAGCACGGCTCGCGGGTTGCAGAGCAGGGCGGCGTGCGGGCCTAAGGGCAGAACAGCGCAGATCGCGGGCTGCAGAGCAGGGCAGAGCGGCTCTAAGGGCAGGGCGACGCGCGGGCCTAATGGCAGGGTAGTGCAGCGTGTGGGCTGCAGGGCAGGGTAGGGCAGCGCGGCTCAGGTGGCAGCAGCAGCCTAGCAGCAGCAGCAGCAGCAGCAGCAGCCTAGCAGCAGCAGCTTAGCAGCAGCAGCAGTGCAGCAGCAGCAGCACAGGTGGCAGCAGCAGCAGCAGCCTAGCAGCAGCAGCAGCTCAGCAGTAGCAGCAACGCAGTCGGCAGCAACATCTTAGCAGCGGCAGCAGTGCAGCAGCAGCAGCTCAGCAGTAGCAGCAGCGCAGCCCGCAGCAGCATCTTAGCAGCACGAGCACAGGTGGCATCAGCAGCCTAGCAGCAGAAGCAGTGCAGCATCAGCAACACAGGTGGCAGCAGCAACACATGTGGTAGCAGGGGCTCGGCAGGGCAGAGTGCAGGTGCAATAGCGCGTGTAGCAGCAGCTGTTGCAGCAGTGCTTAGCAGCAGCAGCAGCGCATGTAGCAGCAGCAGCAGCGCATGTAGCGTTAGCAGTGCATGTAGCAGCAGCAGTAGAAGCAGCACGCTTAGCAACAGCAGCAGCGCTTAGTAGCAGCAGCAGCGCATGCAGCAGTAGCAGCTTCATAAGGGACAGCAGCAGCAGCAGCAGCAGCAGCAGCAGCAGCAGCGCGCATCAGCACGGATGGGCAGGGCGCAGGCAGGGTGCGCGTGAGTGCGGGTGGGGTGTGCGCGGGCAGGGCGTAGGCCGGGCGCAGGCTGCTGGCGGGCAGTGCGAGCGGGCAGGGACGCAGTGGCGCTCGCGGGCAGGGGCGCAGTGGCGCTTGCGGGCAGGCAAAGCGCTCGCGGGCGGGCAATGCGTTAGGCAGCTGGCAGCGTGATTGCGGGCAGGGCAGGGCAGCGCGATCGCGGGCAGGGCAGGGCAGCGCGCGATTGCGGGTGGGGCAGGACAGCGCAATCGCGCTAGAGGGGCAGCACGTAGAACAGTGCATGCGGCAGCACTAACGGCACCCGTGGGGAAAAACGAACAGTGCTGCCTCAGGGCAGCGCGCTACGGGCAGTTATAACCTAGCAGCGCGACGCAAGCTTTCCATGCGTCAGACAGTGTTGTACTCCCTACAGCCCTACTCACTATAGCCTCAACATAATGTATAACATTTGACAAATTGGACCACGAATGTGATAAGAAAGGGAGTTGCGCACGTAGGGGTACCGTGCTTCAGATAGACGTAGGACAAAAAAATTGATACGTATGTTCTGTCAAGCCTAGAGGCAGGTATTTTTGTTATTTACCGCATTCAAGAAAGAATGTTATTATTATGCTAAACAAATTCAACAACCCTAATCACTATTATTCTTACAGAAGGTACCGTACATTGTTCTGGGACACTGCTTAGCTACAATCCCATTGCACTGGCGCTCTGATGGGAATCCAGACCTATGGGAGTGCCTCGGTGGAGGTGACGGACTCCAAGAGGCCATGTGGATCACCACCTGGGATCCATGTGGACATCGAAGCACCATCCGAACCATCCGTCTGCTCGTTCGGATGAAACCCTAACTGAGCTACACCGCAGACGATAATCGGTAAGTTCACCGTCAAGTTACTGACGGCCGTCAGGTTTTCTGTCTGTGTTGCTGGATTCAGGAACCACCAGGCGGAGTTGGTTTGACTTCTTGAAAACCTAAAATTGATGCCCGTCTTTGCCTTTGCCTGTTTTCTGTTTCTACGCAATGGCTCAGACCACGCACGAAACCCTAGATGGACTTTTAGGTTAGGTTCCCTCAGTTTCTTTCCCCCGAATAACGTGACTGTCGTCGCTTCTTTCATTTCCTTTTGGATGTAGGTTATTGTATTCGATTTCTGTTTATGGTATCGTCAGGCGTAGGCTATTCTCGGTCGTCTAGGGTTCCATGGAGGCGTCAGGGAGTTGAAGGGAGGCCTTGGGTCTCGTGTGTGCGAGATGGAGTTGCATCGCGGGGAGGGGTCCGCGGAAATCTCGTCAGGTCGTTTCCAGGCGCCTCCCCTCGGCGTGCCGTGCTCGCGGCCCGTCTCGGTATCGGACGTTCTGGCAGACGGCGGCCGGCTGTTCTTGCATTCGTCCAGAGGCGTCATGGGAGCCTCGATATTACCGCAGAAGCGGCTGCTTGCCGGCCCGAAACAGAACGGATGGTTTTCCGTTTCTGACGCGTCCGGAGCGACTCTGTCCTTCTCGGGAGCGTCTGCTCGGAGCGACTCAGCTTTTTCCAGTCGCAGCCGTAACGGCGGCGTTAACGGGACGGCTAACGGAACGCATAGCGGAGTGCATTCGGGGGATCTTGCAGCAGCGGCGACGGCGTTAGGTTTACAGCCGGTGGTTCTTTCGTGCAGCCGCAGCGCCGCCGAGCGAGCGAATCGCCTGGCATTCCAGACGAGTGCTTCCGATAGAGGGTCTGATTCGTTCAAAGAACCCGACTCGTTAAAAGGACCCGACTCGTTTCGCTGTAGCGTTCGTCCTGGTGAGGAGTCCTCCAGCCTTCAGAGCATCCGTCAAGATTCGACGGTGAAGGATGCACCGCCGAGTCTGGGGTTCTCTAGTCGCTTGCTCTCGCCTTCTCGCCACCGGCAGCGGTCGCAGAGAAAGCATGGCGAGGCGGTAGCGCAGGCAGGAGGTAGAGACGTGAGCATCGGAGACGCGTCGAAGAGCGACGACGGACGGAAGGACGCGCGCAGTCGCAGCCCGCATGTTCATGGCAGGGTGTCGCACAAGGAGTCGGATAAAGTTTCACAGGAGTCGTACAAGGATTTGCACGGGCATTCGCACAGGGAGTCTCATGTCACGCATCAGGAGCGAGAATTGCAGGGCGCGGAGTTAGTAGAGAGTACAAAGCCGCATTCTGACGTTAACCGTTGTGAGTCAGAGCAGCAAAAGGCGATAGACGGGGATAACTCGTTTCCGCGAGGGCAGCGATTCCAGCAGCAGCAATGTGACGGGCGATTACCCGCAGAGGACGCAGGGACAGGGGACACGGGTATGGGGACTGGTGAAGGTGCCAAGGGCGAGCGTGGGAGTTGTCTGTCGTTATCTGTTGCAGATCTGAAGGCCAAAGCAAGCCAGGGGAAGACTCGAGGTTATCAGGCTTCTGGAGCCTCGTCTGAGCAGCAGTTGGTGAGACGCAAAAACCGACCTCCCTTTTTTTTGTGTGTGATTTTTTTTTTTCGCTGGATGCAGTCGCACACTTTTTTCTTTCTTTCTTTCTTTTTTTCTTTTTCTACGCGTTTGTGCGACTAACATCTTGTTCTCCTGTGCTTTTGTGCAGATTGGTAACGCAGGGACAGCAGCAGAGCGGATATCCTTTCACAGCAGCTTATTACCTGACCCCACGGCGGCAGAAAACTCTCCAGCGGCAGCAGTGGTTCACGAGCTGGTCTTCAAAGCGAAATCAATCACACCATCAGATCAATTACTCGCCGATAACGACATTTCCAGGCGAACAGGGTTACCACTGGTCAGTCATGCGCTGATGGACTGCGGGAATTTTCTCTACCCTCCGTTCAAGAAGGCTCGAGCCACCAGGGAACCCAAGTTTCGCAAGCCCAACGTGAGCCGACTACAAGGCCTGGCCGAACCTCCGTGCTGCACAGGCTCGGAACCGAACCTGTCGTTGAGCCTGTCCTTGCAAGACCGCAATACCGAGCGTGAATCGCCACCCGCCCCGCTGTCTGTGACCACGCCTCGCGCTGATAAGCACAATGGCTTATCAGGGGAGAGTCAGCCCGCCCGTCCCAGCACGCCCATTCCCCCCGCTACTCCGTCCTTCTCGCTTCTGGAAGGCCCTCTGTCGTTTTCTCCGATCACGCCGGAGGGGGAACTCTCGCTTGACGATTCCGCGACTGCCGCCCGCCTTCGAGCCGTCTCAGCCGCTCGGGCAGCCGTAGAAGCACGCGCATTCGCCGTCAGAAAAGCGCGAGCGGCTTTACGGGCAGCTGCGAAGGCGAAGGAGGCGGTAGCGGCGGTGATTCACGCGGAGAAGCACGAACGGGCAGCAGGAGAGGAAGCGAGCCATAGCTGCCCAGTCAACGGTGTAAATGGGTATCTGGGGGCTGATGCTGTGGGGACGGGCGATTTAGTGGCGGGAGGGGAGCTGGACGGTACAGACGTGTCCAGGAACGGTGCAGTGCGGTTTTCTTCGAGGTGGCGGCAGGCCTTGTCGGAGCTAGAGGCGCGCTGTGAATGGCTTCTAACGCGTACAGGAGCAGCAGCTGCTGATAGCGAGACAGGCGGGAGAGCCGTGACGGCAGGTGCAAAGCCCGAGGAGTGCGAGCAAGGGGAAGAGCGGGGAGTTGGTGAGACTGCTACGGGTTTCAGGGGGAGAGGCGAGAGTGGGGGGAGTGGTGGCTCTGAGATTCCGCTCGGGCTCAATCCGTCTGCAGGAAAGAGCGGGGGCTTTGAGATTCCGCAGGGCGCTCATAACACGCTGGACCTCCACCTGAGTAGACCTGACGTCGCTGATTCTGCCCTAGCGCTGGCAGTCAAGGAAGAGGAGACGACCCGTGGGGAGAAGGAAAGGGGGTTGGCTTCACGAGAACGGTGCTTGGCGTGGGGTGATGAGACGGCAGAGGGGAATGAGGCGGGGGTGCAAAGCGGCGAGGTACGGCGGTGTGTGTCCGTGGACCTGGTGATGGGCCTGGGCCGCTCGTCTCAGGGGCAAGACGGCAGTGACGGGTGTTACGTGGGTGGTGCTGATGGGAGAGAGGGAGCCGGGCAGGCTGCAAGAGAGAAAGGAAGGGTAGAGAGACGGAAGGGGCGGCGGGAAGCGGAGGAAGAGGAAGAGGAGCAGGAGGAGGAGGAGGAGCAGGAAGAGGAGGAGGGAGCGGTTGAGATGGAGGAGCTGCATCTGCCGCCTGTTTCACGGGAGAGTGAAGAGTACAAGCAGCCACGACCGCCGCCGCTGCCATTTGGTGCAGCGCACTGCAAGCTCGGTGACGCCGAGCACCGCAAGCCGGATGAGGGTGAACGTGAACATGGCAAGCAGTGGCATTCCAAGGCTGGGAGTGGCAGCAGCCAGGGGCGCAGCCGCGGATTCAGCCCGCGTGACCGCCCAGATGGGCTGGCAGGCGCGGCGGTGGCTGTTGAGTCGACTCAAGCTTCAGATGCGAGGGTTTCAATCAAGGCAGGTTGCGAGAGGCGAGGGCAGCACGGGTGTGGCGACTTGGGGGAGCAGCGCGAGGGTTACGCGTCAGCAGTAGCGTGCAGTGGGGACGAGACGCGACAGCTGATGCCCCGCCACGGGGGCTTCTGCAATGCTGCCGCTAACAGCGGTTTTCCGTCCGCAGATGGCAATGCTGCTTCAGCAGGTGGCAATTCTGTGTCAGCAGGTGGCAATGCTGTGTCAGCTAATACCGCAGATGTATCGAGCATTCATGCAGGAGCCAGCGTCCCCGCGACGGCTTGCAACCACCATGCCACTGCGTGCTGTTCTGACCCGGGTGTGGTTGGGGACGGTGATGAGGAGAAGAGCGTGCGAGAAGTGAGGCAGGAGGGCGGTCAGGCGTGTGGCGAGGGGTCGGCAGCAACGGGTGGGGAGAGGGATGCTGAGAAGTGCGCAGGACGGAATGGTGGTGGTGGTGGTGGTGCTGTCATTGTCACTGATGCTGGTGATGCAGGTGGTGGGAGGAAGGCACAGGCGACCGAGTTTTGTGGGGATGAGGGTGGACAGGGCGTTGGAGGGCACAACATCGGGATCGTGGGCGTGGGGCGACGCACAGGGGCAGTGGCCTGTGCATCAGCGGGTGCGGCCGGAGGTGTGGGCGGAGGGACTGTAGTAGGAGAGGAGAAGGAGATTGGTGGAGCCAAGGAGGGGACAGAATCTGCAAGTGCTGCTGCGGGTGCTGCCGCTGCTGCTGTTGCGTCTGATAATGATGCTGCTGCTGCTGCTTCTGATGCTGACGCCACTGCTGCAAGAGCTGCAGACGCCGCTGTTCCTCCCGCTCTTCCCGCCACTTCCACGCCTGCGAACACTGCAGCTGGTGCCACTGCCTGTGCTGTTGCTGCTCCTTGCACCACTGCCGCCACCATCACTGCCAGTGCTGGTTCCCTGGGTACTCGCCCAGCAATGAGTCCCGCTCCCCCCGCTGCCCCCACTGCCACCCCCTCTGCCCCCGCTGCCCCCAGTGCCCCCACTGCCGCCACTGCCGCCACTGCCGCCGCTGCCCCCACTGCCGCCACTGCCCCCACTGCCGCCACTGCCGCCACTGCACCCACTGCCGCCACTGCACCCACTGCTGCTGCTGCCCCCACTGTCACCACTGGCCCGACTGTCCCTCGCCCGTGCGAGGATGAGAAGCCAGCACAGAAGCAGCGCCAACCCTTTAACAGCTCCCCTCGTACCACTGCCGCGGCCGCCACTGCTGCTGCTGGCACTGCCACTGCCGTTGCTGCCTCTAGTGTCACTACCGCAGATGCCTCTGCTGCATCTGCCGCTGCTCCCTCTACCACTGCCGTCGCTACCTGTGGTGTCACTACCGTGACTGTTGCTGCCTCTGCCACTGCTGCCCCTGCTGCTCCGCGTGCTGCTCCTGTTGCTCCTGCAGCTGCTGCTGCCGCCGCTGTTGCTGCTGCTGCTGCTGCTGCTGCTGCCCCGCCTGCTGCCGCTGTCGCCCCTGCAGCTGCTGCTGTTGCCCCTTCTGCTGCTGCTGCGTCGCCAGGCAGTGCGGCAGCAGCGGGCGCGGGCACTCCGCGACAGCGCTGCCCGTCAGACGACGAGAGGCTGGCGCGGCAGCTGCACCGCGCCTTCAACAGCTCCCCGCGCATCCTCGCCGTCCTCGCGCCCACGCCCAAACGCTCCCGCAACCCCCGCCACCCCGCTGCACCCGCTGCCGCGCCCGCTGCTGCGCCTGCTTCTGCGCCTGCTGTGGCTAATCCTGCGCCTGTTGCTCTTGGGGTGTCTGGGAAGACAGGACGGGGGAGTGCGGGGGAGGCGAAGGGGAGAGGAGAGGCTGCGGGGAAAGCAGAGGTATGGGGGAAGGTGGCAGTAAGGAGAGATGGGGCGGCGAAGGTAGGAGAGGGCAGCGATAAGGATGGGAAGGCTGCTGGAAATGTGGATAGGGCCCAAGTTAAGGAGGACCGTGAGGTTGAAGGTGTGGGTTCTGGTGTTGCTGGTGCTGCTGGTGTTATTGGTGTTGTTATCGGTGGTGGTGGTGTTGGTAATGCTGATAGGTGTAAAGCTCCGCCGAGTGACACTCCAACTGGCGGACCCACCCCTGTGGCTGCTTCTGCTGCTGCAGCTTCTCGTGCTCCGCCTCTCCCGCCCCTTCCTTCTCTTCTTCCTTCCCCCCCTCCTCCTGCCGCTGCCGCGGGCTCATCCTGCACTCCCCCGTCTCACTTGCCGCCCCCATCATCTGCCGAGGCCCCCCTCCCGCCCTGCGCCACTCCCCCTGCCGCTCCACCCTGCGCCACTCCCCCTGCCGCTCCGCCCTGCGCCACTCCCCCTGCCTCTCCGCCCTGCCCCACTCCCCCTGTCGGCCCCTCTTGCACCAAACCCCGCCCCATTTCCCTCGCCTTCCTTGATGTAGCCCACTTACCCCGCGCAGGTGACGTCAGCCCTAAGAAAGATCTCTGTCCCAAGTTGGCTGTTGCTGAGACTGAGGCAGGCAGAGGGGCGGCAAAACAGGAGAATGGGGAGAAGGCTGGAGCGGGCCGCGGGCAGACGAACGGGCAGATGGACGGGCAGGCTGGCGGGCGGGTAGATGGGCAGGCGATTAGGGTTTCGGATGTGACCCCGGGGGATGGTGGGACGGGAGGTGGTGGGAGTGGGGGGTTAGTATTGAATGGTCGGGGCGCGGAAGAGGGCCGTGTGCGGAAGCGAGGGGGTGGGGGGGGAGGAGGGTCAGGGGGAGGTGGCGCAGGGGGATGGGGGGGTGGCGGAAGCTGTGGAGGGGGTAAGGCGGGTAGTAATGGGAGGGGAGGGGCAGCAGGCGGAGGGGGTGGGGGTGGGAATGGGGCGGGGGGCGGTGCAGGGGGGGGCACTGGTGGTGCCGGGGATGGCGGAAGAGAGGGCGGCGGAGGGGGAGGGGGAGGGAGTGGAGGGAGGGCGGGGGATGTTGCTAGTGAGGAGGAAGAGGAGGAGGACAGAGGGCGGAAGGGAGGGAGGAAGGCGGGCAACGGCAAGAGGTGTGAGAGGAGAGGCAGCACCAGAGAGACTAGTGGGAATGGGAGGAATGGGAATGTTGGCAGCAGCAGCAGCGATGATAGCTTGAGTAACCGTGAGGAGGACGAGGGGGAGGAAGATGAGGAGGAGGAGGAGGATGATGGAGAAATGGACGGTTCAGATGATGAGAGCAGCCCCAGGCGCAGCAGCATCGCCAGCAGTCGCGACGGCAGCAGCAATGGCAGCAGCGGGAGCAGCGACAGGGAAGGGGAGGAGGAGGAAGAGGAGGGAGAGGATGAGGAGGAAGACGAGGAGGAAGAGGAAGAGGAGGAAGATGAGGAGGAGGAGGAGAAGGAAGGTGTGGAGCAGAAGGCGCAGAGGAAGCAGCGAAGGAGCTTGAGCGGGGCTCGAAGTGCGCAGGGTGGCAGGCGAGGCTCGTGGGGGCGGTGGGACGAGAACGGCGGGAAGGGCAGCCGCGACAAAGGCAGCGGAGGTTCGGCCCCTAGCGGCAGGGGGGAAAGGGAGAGGGAGAGGGAGAGAGAAAGGGAGAAGGAGACGGAGCGGGAGGGGAGTCCGGACGTGGGGGGTGGGGGGGCGTGGGCGAGTGAGGCGGGTCAGGAGGGTGGCGGAGCCAAAGCAGGTTTGCGAGTGAACCACCACAGGGGCAGCGGCCGGGCGTCAGAGGGGGCGATTTTGGGCGGAGACACGTCTCCCGTCATTCCCGTACCTTCGAAAGAAGCTCGGCAGCCGCGTTCGCAGCTGGTTTGTCACCCGAGGCGGTTCCCGAAGCTGGCTTTAGCGGGGATAGTGGAAGGCGAGGGTGGTGAGGAGGGTAAGGAGGGGAAGGGCGAGGGGAAGGTGAAGGAAAGCGGATGGGAGAAGGTGAAGGGGTTGGTGAGGGAGAAGGAAGGGGAGAAGCGAGATAAGAGGCGGAATGGGTTGGGGGAGGAGTATGGAGGGGAGAGGATCAAAAGGGCTTGGGAGAAAGAGAAAGAGGGGGTGAGGATGAGTGAGGTCGAGGGTTTTATACAGAAGCAGAGGGACAAGGGTGGCGGGATGGAGAAGCAGAAGAAGCGGGAGAAGGAGAAATCAAGAGAACGAAGCGTTGCAGAGGAGTGGGGAGTGGTGGCTGACAGAATGAGTGAGTGGGGGGCGGGGAAAAGCAAGGGGAAGGCAGAACCGGTGGGGAGCGGCGAGTGGGAGAAGGAGCGGGAGAGAGGCGCCAAGGCTGGGTTTGCGGAGAGGGAGGCAGAGAGCAGAGCGAAGCTTAAAGAAGGGAAGGATGCGAGTGGGGGCATGGCGTGGGGAAGGGCAAGCGAGAGAGGGAGGGATCACTTGGGAGACTTGGGGAGGAGTAAGGGAAGAGAAGGCGGCAAGGAGGGAGGGTTGGGGGACGAGAGGGAGAAAGGTCGGGCGGTTTCGGAGAGGCCAGAGGGTGATGAGCGATACGAAGCGGTTGAGAGAGTCAAGGACAAAGAGAACATCCGAGGACGACTCAAGGATGTGGGGGATATTGAGAGGGCGGAGAAGAGCAAGCAGGAGGAGCGGAAGAGTGAGAAGGGAAGGGGCAAGGGGCGGGATAACCACGTGTTAGTAAGGAGCGGAGAGGGTGGAGAGGCATGGATGGTCGAGCCGAAGAGAAAAGACAAGTCTGAGGGCTTTGTGGGTGGGAAGCAGCAGCGGGACGGGGTAGGGCCACATTCGCTAGTGTCACACTCGTTAGTGCCTTCGTTACTGGCTCGTGCTACTGTAGCTCCGCAGGTGGAGGGGAAGCGATGGCGGAAGAAGGGTATTGTGGCGGGCCGGGCGCGGAGTGCTGTAGAGCAGGACACTATAGAGGATGTGCTCTTAGAGGATCTTAGGGATCGTGACACTAAGGAGGGGATCAGGAAGGAGAATTCTGCGAAAGGTGCTGAAGGAAAGGAGAAAGGGAAGGTGAAGGGTAAGGGAGAGAAGGAGAAGGAGGAGAGGGAAAGAGAGAGGGAGAGGGAGAGGGATGCGGAGAGGGGTGTGGTCAAGGGTGTTGGGGAGACTGATGTGCCTCTCAGCGTGCCTCCCAGTGGTAATGGTGGCTTGACGGCAAGCTGTAAGCGCAAGCGCAGTGCGGAGAGAAGTTTCTCGGATGGTTCTGCTGCGGTGCGTGCGGTATCCTGTCACGCTGGTGGTAACCATGTGCCGGCTAGTAACGTTGCTCACCCTGGTAACCACAGGCACGGTGGTAACAACGTTCATGCTGCTGGTAACCACATGCACGCAGGTATTCCCGCTCAGGCTAGTAACCATCCACACGCCTGTAACCACACTGACGCCGCTGGGGCAGATTTCGCAGTACCAGGAGCAGCAGCAGCAGGTGGGGGTTCGATGGGAGGAGCAGCAGTGGCAGGAGGGGTGACGGGAGGAGGAGAGCCAATGGGGGGCGTGGAGCGGATGGGAAGAGCACCAGTCGTACCCAGGGCGAGAAGCGCAGACGCGTTTACAGCACAGAGGAACGCGGACAGAACAGCAGGGCATAGGAGCGCGGATGAAAGTGGGGGCCGCAGGAGTGGGGACGGATTTGGGGGACCTATGTCGCCGCCTAGGGTCAGAGTGAAGAAAGCAGAGAGTGGCAGTGGTGGGGGCGAGAGGGAGGCGTTTCGTGCGTGCACGAGTCCCACAGGGCGAGGTGTGGCGCCCAGCAGCACTGCGTCATCGTGGGGCGAAGGTGAGGCTGCGTGGGTGCTTGATGCGTGGCTGGTGCTCGGTGCTTGGCTCTGCAATGGTCCGTGACCGTCTTCCCGTTGCAACATTGCAACGATCATAGATTTGTCATTGCTGTGCTTCCCGGCTGTCTTTCCTCCTTGTCATGTCTTGACGTGGGAGGTATGGGACAAGCAAACAACCTCCCACCGTCTCGCTTCGTCTCCGTTATTTCCATGCGAGCAACCGCCTTTGCATCGTGCTGTCTGATGTCTCACCTGCTACTGCACTCCAAAGTCTCAGCCCTTCCCTCCCATCCGCCTGTTCCTGCTGCCCTGCCCCCGTGCCCACATCCCCCCGTGCCCACATCCCCCCGTGCCCACATCCCCCCGTGCCCACATCCCCCCGTGCCCACATCCCCCCGTGCCCACATCCCCCCGTGCCCACATCCCCCCGTGCCCACATCCCCCCGTGCCCACATCCCCCCGTGCCCACATGCCCCCGTGCCCACATCCCCCCGTGCCCACATCCCCCCGTGCCCACATCCCCTCCCGCTGCTGCTTCTCTCCCCGTGTGCCAACTGCCGACTGCTGCCCCTCTTTCCCCTCCAGGTACCCACACAAAGAGGCAAACCCTACCACACCAAACCCCACCACTCCAAACCCAATCTGACAGCGTCCTCCGTTCACCAGGACATGCGACCATTAACCACGACGCTCACCACTCTCTTGCCACTGCTCCGCGGCCTTCCGCCCACTGCTCTGTTCCTCTGCCTGCGGATCCTTCCCCGCATGCCACTGCTGCGGAAGCAGCAGCCCTGGCTCTAGACATGTTTGCCGCTGCCGCTGCTGCTGCGGAGGCGGGTGGGCAGGCAAGCAAGGAGGAGGAGGACGAGGGAGGAGGAGAGGGAAGTGACAGCGGTGGTAGCAGCAGCAGCCGCAGCGGCAGCAGGAGACACAGGAAGAAGCAGCGTTGGGGGAAAGAAGGGAGGAGGGATGGGAGAGAGACGGGTGGGCCTGTGGTGGAATCTACACCGTTGGATCGGCTCGCGTTACTTTCAGATGCACAGCCACGTGTCCATGAGGATTCGCTAGGGCGGCAGAGAGCAGCGTGGGTGGAGGCCAGAGAGGAGGGGCGGAGTGGCGCTGGGGATGGCACGGGCACGGCACTGGTTCAGCTAAGTGCGGGTGTTGCTCAGTTGAGTGCTGGCGGGGAAGCTAGTTCCCATGCTGCTTGGAGCTCAGGTGTTGGCGTTGCGGGTGGTAATGCAATACAAGTAGAAGAGGAAGGACGAGGAGCAACAAGAGAAGGAGCAGGAGCAGTAGGAGGAGGAGGAGGAGGAGGAGGAGGAGGAGGAGGAGGAGGAGGAGGAGGAGGAGGAGGAGGAGGAGGAGGAGGAGGAGCAGGAGCAGGAGTAGGAGGAGAGGTTGTGAACGAGGAGCGTAGAAGTGACGAAGACAAATGTCTGTCTGGGCTAGACCTCATAGCAGCAGAGGCAGCGGAGGTGCTTGCAGTGAGGCTGCTTGTATCGGGTATGCAGCCCGAGCGGGCGGCAAGCCCGTCTTTAGCGGCGCTAGTAGAAGCAGCGATGCTGCCTTGTAGGGGGGACAGCAGGGCAGGAGACAGGGAGACTAGCGGGAGGGAGGATTTAGAAAGGGAGGATATAGGGTTGGCGCATATAGGTAGGGTGGATACAGCAGAAGGTGTGGGTGGGGGGTGTGGCGCGAGTCAGGGCGCAATGCAGCATGAGGAGAGGCCGAGGGGTGAGGTGGGGCGAGCAGTGGGGTGGGATATGGAGAAGGCTGCTGGGCTGGGGCAGGCGGAGTGGGATTCAGAGACAGCGGGCACAGAGAGGCATGCAGGGGCGGTGCAGGAGTTGGGGGAGAGAGGGGTTGGGGTTTTGGAGACAGGGGTTGGTTGGCATGGATTGCAGGTGTGGTTCGAAGGAGGGTCACATGGAAGGTTGCAAGGGGAAGGGTTACAGCAAGGGCGGTTACAACAGGAAGAGTTACAACCAGAAGGGTTGCAACAGAAAGGGTTACAAGGGGAAGGGTTGCAAAAGGAAGGGCCAGCACAAGGGAAGGCGTTGCAGGAGGCGTTGCAGGAGGCGTGGAGGCCGAAGCCGAGGATAGTGGACTTGAACGAGCCGTGGCGAGAGGAGGACGAGGAGGAGGCTGAGGTGGTGGTGGGAGAGGCGGTGGAGAGTGCAGCAACGGACCGAACTTCCCCCTCGCATGCAGCAGTGCTCCCAGCAGCGGTAGCTACAGCTGTTACAGCGGCTAAAGCTGTTGCAGCTGCCACGGTTGCTACAGCCCCGGTGCCTCACGGGGCACCATTGCTGCCAGCAGCAGCGGCTCTTGCGCCTGCAGCAGCCAGCGCACGTGCTGCGGAGCTAGAGGCCGCTCACCCACGCCCAGCAGCCGCCACAGCGCCTGCTGACAGCCCACGTGCCGGGGAATCTGAGCCTTCGCCCCCACAGCCAACAGCCGTCACGGTGGTGCCTGCAGCTGGTGCAGGCTGTGAGGCGGCTTCGAGTGCTCCTCCCGCGTCACTGGCAGCAGCCGCGGTAGCAGCACCACTTCTAGTAATAGCCGGGGGTGCCGGTGTCAGTGTCAGCGCAGGTGTCGGTGCTGGTCTTGGCGCCAGTGTTAGTGCTGCCGCTCGTGCTGGTGCTGATGCCGGCACTGATGCTGATGCTGCATGTGAGAGCAAAGCGCGTGGCCCAGCTGCTTGTGTGGATCCTGGGACTCGCCCGGGAGAGCCTCACGCTGCACGTCTGCACCTGGTGGGGGCGGATGAGCAGGAGTGCGCGGGTCCCAGCGCCCCTCTCCTGGTGTCGTGCAGCTCTGCAGGCGCAGGCCCGGATGATGATGGCCTTCATAGTGCAGGCATGCGGGAGAAGGGGGGAGTTACGGAGAAGCAGTGGCGGGCGGAGGGGTTGTGGGGCGCAGGAGAGGAGAAGGAGAGGAATGTGATGAAAGGGGAGGGGGGTGGGAGGGCAGGGGGTGGGGAGAAGGGTGGGGAGAGTGAGAAGCGAGAGGACAAGGTGAAGGCGGAGAGGGTGGCGAGGGATGAGGGAGGGAGAGAGGGGAATGTGGATGAGGGTGTGAGGAAAGAGAGAGGAGAGAAGAGGAAGCGGGACAAGAGGGAGAGGGGCGAGAGGAGAGAGAAACGGGAGAAAAGGGATAGAGGGGAAGAGAGGGGGAAGGACAGAGGACGAGGGGAAAAGGGAGAGAAGAGAGGCAAGGGAGAGAAGGAGAAGAGGCGTAAGGGGGAGAGAAAGGAGAAAGGGGAAGGGGTGAAGGGGGAAGAAGTGAAGACCGAGAAGGGAGTTAGGCCAGTGGGAAGAGGGGGTGGGGAAGACGGGGAGAGGGGGAAGGAAGAGGAGGAGTGTGCTGCGGTTGAGGCTACGAGGAGCAGGGCAGCAACGTTGGAGTCGGTGGTTGGGCCGCGGACAGCAGAAACGCAGGATATGGGCACAGCAAAGGCAGGGGCAGCAAAGGCAGAGGCAGTGCAAGCAGGGGCAGGGGTTGATGCAGAGGCAACCGCTCTGTTGGGGGTGGTGGCGGGGGTGGCTGCGGCACGTGAGGCTGAGCGAAGTGAGGTGAAGGCAGAGATTGGAGAGATGGGGGCGATAGGGGCCAAGGGAGCGCAGGGGGGGAATGGGACGGAGGAGGAGGAGGTGAAGGAGGGGAAGGGAGGTGCAGGTGAGAGGGTAGTGGTTGAGCAGGAGGGTGGGGCGAAGGCCGACGTGGTTAAATGGGAGGAAGGAACGGCCAAGTCGGAGAGTGGGATGATTAGGGATGGGAGGATGGGAGAGGGGAGGATGGGAAAGGCAAGGATGAAAGAGGAGGCAGTGGAGGAGGAGGTGAGGGGTGAGAGAGGAGAGGGAGCGGTGAGAGAAGAGGGGATGGTGAGGGAGGGTGGTATAGCGAGAGAAGAGGGTATGGAGAGGGAGGAGGGCTTGGTGTGTTGGAACGATGATGCGCTGTCAGATGTGAGTGAGGATGCTGATGCCGAAGCTAATGCCGAAGCTGTTGCCGAAGCTGATGCCGAAGCTGATGGCATGGGCGCTGGAGGCTCTGCTGCTGCACTCAGGGAGGGCAGGTTCGGTGAGGAGAGGAGGCGTGATGGTGGTGCTGTTGGGGAGGGTGTGGAGGAGCATGGCAAGAGTGGGCCTGAGACCTCCAAAGAATATCCTATGCGCCCAGCCTCACCTCAACCTCAACCTCAAGCTGAACCTGAGTTTGAACCTGAAGTGGGCCTACAGAGTGATTCCTCCAATGCTCACGGTCGACTCAAGCCCACATTCTCTGATGTCACCGAACCTGATACTTCTGAACCTGCAGTCTCCGAGCCTAGCTTTGAGGCTCCCCAGAAGGGGCCTCATGCCTCCGAACCTGACACGACGGAAGTGGGTGGTTCCGAAGCTGCTGCTGCAACCGAAACTATGGAAATGGATGCTCTGTTATTGAGCCGACTCAAGCCTGCACTCTCTGATGTCACCGAACCTGATGCTGCCGAGCCTGATGGTTCCGAACCTGACGCTATGGATGAGATTTCTCCTCTTCATGTGCTCCCAGACTTGGAGGCAGCTTCGGCTCCAGGTTCGGCTGCATCTGCTCTAGGTTCGGCAAGCAAGGGGCTTTCATCCCCAGGTTCAACAAGTAAGGCCTCTTTGACTCCAGGTTCGGCAACCAGGCCTAGCCAAAAGGTTCGGAGGGAGCAGGATCAGGAGCGGAGGGAGCATCAGGAGATAACGGGGGAGGAGAGTAAAGGAGAGCTGGTTCCGGGTAAGAGAAAGGGAGGAGAGGAGAAGGGTGGGGAGAGAGAAGGGAGAGAAAAGGGGCGTGATAGTGGAAGTGAGGAAGGGAAAGGGAAGGTTAAGAAGGAAGAGAAGAGAGAAGGGGAGAGAAGGAAGGAAGGGGAGAGAGAGGGGTACAGGAAGGAACGAGTCCACAGAAGGAACTCGAGTTCGTCTTTTGATGTAGGGCGGGAGAAGGGAGAGGAGGGCAGGAGGGAAAAGGGGGAGGGGAGGAGGGAAAAGGGAGAGGAAGGGAAACGAGAGAAAAAAGAAGAGAGCAGGAGAGGCAAGGGAGAGGACAGCAAGAGAGAGAAGGGGGAAGAGAGCAAGAGGGGTAAGGGGGAGGAGGGGAAGAAAGATGAGAAGAAGAGAGCTGAGAGTGTGGACAGGCGGGCAGGGAGTGAGAGAAGGGAGGGGAGCGAGAGGAGGGAGGGGAGCGAGAGGAGGGAGGGGAGCGAGAGGAGGGAGGGGAGCGAGAGGAGGGAAGGGAGTGAAAGGAGGGAGGGGAATGAGCGGAGGGAAGGGAGTGAGAGGAGGGAAGCAAGTGAGAGGAGGGAAGGGAGTGAGAGGAGGGAAGGGAGCAGACGGGCCGTGGAGAAGGGGAGGGGGCGGATGAGCAGTGTGGAAGGGGAGGAGGACAGTGAGGAGGGCGGGATTGGTAGGGGGAGCAGGGAGGAGCGAGGGGGGGTAGGAGGGAGAGAAGTGAGGGAGGGATCGAGCGGGTGGGAGAGGGAGAGAGAGAAGGAGAGGGAAAGGGAAAGCAATTCGGGAGGACGTGGATTGTGGAGGGAGGGAGAGGAGAGAACGAGAGAGGGGAGGGAAGGTAGGGAGGCAGGAGATTGGAGAGAGGGAAGAGAAGGTAGAGAGGGAAGAGAGGGGAGAGAAGGGATGGAAGGGAGGGAAGCCAGGGAGTGGAGGGAGGCCAGGGAGGAGTGGGATGGAAGGGATGGGAGAGATGCAAGAGAAAGCGGCCGAGACAGAGACAGCGCCAGAGAAGGCAGGGAGGGGAGAGAAGGGCGGGAAGGCCGGGAAGGGAGGCGCGAAACAGGGTTCAGCGATTGGCCGCTAGACCCGCCTCTGGATCCCGACGGCTTCCCCCTCCCCATCGACCCCATGCTGCTCCCCCGCTCTGCTGCCTCCGCTGCCGCCGCCGCTGCTTCTGCTTCGTGGCGAGACGGCCCCAGTCCCAGGCTGTCAGGAGGAGGTGCAGGAGGGGGCATGCGCAGGAGCCCCGACAGGGAGTTTTTCCTGGGGCCGGGAGGGGTAGGGGGGGCAGGGGGCGGGTGGGGCGCTGGGGGGCTTCACCCTCCCCCCCGCGGCCTTCCCCCCGGGCCAGGCAGGGCGTTTGGGGGAGCAGTGGGGGGGCCTATGAGCCCCGCTGTCATGGCTGCCGCTGCTGCTGCTGCCGCTGCTGCTGGGATGCCTGCAGGGTGGATTGGACCGCCAATGGGGCCACGACACCTGGCGGCGCGCCGTGCTTCTGCTGCTGCTGCAGCTGCGGTGGCGGCTGGCGGGATGGGGATGAGGGGAGGGCCGTTGGGGGGAATGGGAGGGGGGAGAGGGGGCGCTGGAGGGATGGAGGAGCTAGTGGAGTTGCACAGGAGAGGGGGGGAGCATGTGGGAGGGGGAGGGCCCATCCGGGGGAGGCACAGCCTGCGGGAAGCTGCCGCGCTACGCCGCCCGGAGCATCTAGCGGCAGCTGGGTTTGGAAGAGGCGGCATGCATGAGGTTTGGCGGAGGGACGGGTGGAGGGAGGCAGGCATGAGGTTAGGCCCGGGAGGGCCCGGTCCTGGGATAGGCCCGGGAATGAGGATGGGTGGTGGGTTCGGAGGGTATGGGATGGGGCCTGGGCCGGGGATTCCGTTTGTTGGGGGGGGGAGGGGGGATGTATGGTGGGGCCCCAGGTCTCCCCCGTGACCCTAGGGACCATTTTGCACTGGAGATGTGGAGGGGGGGTGGGGGGAGAGGCAGTGACGGGGGAAGGGCGGAGGGGAGGAGGGATTCGGATGGGGGAAGGATGGGGTGGGACGAGCCTGGAGGCAAGGAGAATGGGGTGATGGGGGGAGGGGATAGAGGGGGGCTTGGTCCCCCCACACCTTCTGGGGGAGGCCCAGGGGGAAGGGGGGGGATGGGGGGGTTTCAGGCGGAGGGGAAGGGGAGAGGGGGGTTTCACCCATCGCCTGGAGCAGGGGAGGGGGAGTGGGGGGCGATGGGGAGCGGAGGGGAAGCAAGGGGAGGGGGAGAGAGGGGGGAGAGGGGAGGGGCGACAGGAGGGAGGCCTGGGGGAGGGGGCAGTGAGTGGGGCTCGCCTGTAGGAGCAGGATCGAGTGGGCGGAAGCAGCAAGCAAGCGGAGAGGGAGGGGGAGGAGGCAGTGGGGGAAAGGAGATGTTACGATCTGCTAACGGGCACCGCCGGTAGAGCTGGGTTGTGGAATTTTGGTATGGTACCTGGAGAGTGTATACTAGTGCTCTTTCAGCGGGAGCATGTTGACCGTTTCCGAGGGTTTCCCTTTCCAAGGATCTAGGCTAGCTTTTGCAGTTCTAACCAATGTCCTAGATATAATGTACTTACCAAAGCTATTACAACGTTTGTTCCATAGCCATGGCTCAAAATAATATTTTGCAGAGTTGTAGTGCAAATCATGGTTGGGCTTACGATATTGATTCTTATATCCATATTGATACATACAGAAAGTGTTTTTGTTTTTCCCCGGTTTCTACCAATAAATACCGTAAGTGTTACCGCATCTAGATGCTCAAGGCCAGCAGCTCCAGCGGCCAGCGGCGAGAAAAGTGGCACGATTGTTGAAACGAGGTAAGGTAAGGGTACATTCCGCTGTAGAATATGTCCCAATCGATGTGTCCCAATCGATTGAGACGCGTACGTACAGCATATGAAGCCAGGTGTCGGTGTCAGAATGTATTTGCTGTCTAGCCTGCAGTGGGGTACTCTGTAATGAGTACAACCCAATTTAGGGTGTTGTACTTGTATCCCAACTCTTGCTAGTGAAACCACTCATTCTCCTTTCAACTTTCTCGACATTGATCTCACACCCTAAAACTCGAACTCTCTCCTAAGCTTCCATGGCTCCTAGGCCTAAGTCACGCTAGTTATTTTAACATGGTATTCAGGGCAGGTGCCTTCCTGCTGCCTTCTTGCTTCCGCTGCCTATCGTCTTGCCGCGCGCCTCGGGCGCGCGGCGTATTGTTCTCGCGCACGGCGATTTTCTGCCCGCCGTGTGCTCGGGGCGCACGGCGGTTTTCTGCCCGCCGTGCGCCCCGAGGCGCGCGGCGGGTTCCTACCTCGTCGCGGTGTCTTGGGGGCCCGCGCACTGGCCCCGACCGTCGCCTCGTCGCGGCGTTTTGGGGGCCCGCACGCAGGTCCCTCCCGTCGCCTCGTCGCGGCACTTTTGGGGCCCGCGAGCCGGCCCCTCCCGTTGCCTCGTCGCGGCGCCTTAGGGGCCTGCGCGCGGTCCCCTCTCGTCGCCCGTCGAGGCACTTTCGTGGACCTGCGCGGCTCCATCGCACGTCGCCCTTCAGGGCACAATGGGGGCCGCGCCCTTCCCCTCCCCTCCCTCCTACTTTCCGCTGCAGCAGCCGCCCCTGGAGCAGCCGCCCCTGGAGCAGCCGCCGCTGCAGCAGCAGCCCCTGGAGCAGCAGCAGCAGCCCCAGCAGCAGCAGCCCCGGGACCAGCCGCCCCAGCAGCAGCAGCCCCTGGAGCGGCCACCCCAGCAGCAGCAGCCCCTGGAGCAGCCGCTACTGCAGCAGCCGCCCCAGCAGCAGCAGCCCCTGGAGCAGCAGCAGCAGCCCCAGCAGCAGCAGCCCCGGGACCAGCCGCCCCAGCAGCAGCCCCTGGAGCAGCAGCCCCAGCAGCAGCAGCCCCTGGAGCCGCCCCAGCAGCAGCAGCCCCGGGAGCAGCCGCCCCAGCAGCAGCCCCTGGAGCAGCAGCCCCAGCAGCAGCAGCCACTGGAGCAGCCACCCCAGCAGCAGCTGCCCCTGGAGCGGCCACCCCAGCAGCAGCAGCCCCTGGAGCCGCCGCTACTGCAGCAGCCACCCCAGCAGCAGCAGCCCCTGGAGCAGCAGCAGCAGCCCCAGCAGCAGCAGCCCCGGGAGCAGCCGCCCCAGCAGCAGCCCCTGGAGCAGCAGCCCCAGCAGCAGCAGCCACTGGAGCAGCCGCCCCAGCAGCAGCAGCCCCTGGAGCAGCCACCCCAGCAGCAGCAGCCCCTGGAGCCGCCCCAGCAGCAGCAGCCCCGGGAGCAGCCGCCCCAGTAGCAGCCCCTGGAGCAGCAGCCCCAGCAGCAGCAGCCACTGGAGCAGCCGCCCCAGCAGCAGCAGCCCCTGGAGCAACCGCCGCCCCTGGCCCCTGCAGCAGCCACTCTTGGACCCGGTGCAGCCGTGGGGGGGTGGGTGTGGGGGTGATAGTTGTGGGGGTGTCGATTGTGCGTGCCGTCCCCTCCTCCTCTTCCTCCTTCGTCTCCCACTGCTGCAGCTCTCGCTGAGGGGGGTGGATATGTGGGAGTCTAGGGTTTAGGGTTTAAGGGGGTGCTGTGGGTGTAGGGCTAGGGTTTGAGCAGGGGGTGTGTGAGAGGGGTGTTGGGCAGCTGGGGGAGGTTGAGTGGAGGCAGCAGTCTTGTCGTCTGCAGCAGCAGCAGTCCGGAGGCTACAATCTCCGGTAGTCGCCAGTCGCCAGTGGGTCCGTTGCTCGTCTACCGCTACTTTTAGCCGCGGGGCCAGTTACTCCAGTAGTCCGGAGCGCTGTTCCGGTAGCCACTGAGCCAGCAGCTTGTCTGTGTGTCTGCAGCGTCAGCAGTCGCTTCCCATCTTCTCTCCCCCAGAGTCTCTCCTCCTCCTCACTTGCCCTCTGTGATTAGCTCTAGCCTTACTTACCTATTGTGAACTCTTGCCCTATGCTTGCTCATTGTGCTGATTACTCCCCACTTTGGCTATGGGGGTGTGTCAGAATGTATTTGCTGTCTAGCCTGCAGTGGGGTACTCTGTAATGAGTACAACCCAATTTAGGGTGTTGTACTTGTATCCCAACTCTTGCTAGTGAAACCACTCATTCTCCTTTCAACTTTCTCGACATTGATCTCACACCCTAAAACTCGAACTCTCTCCTAAGCTTCCATGGCTCCTAAGCCTAAGTCACGCTAGTTATTTTAACAGTCGGAATGCCGTGCCGCCCATGGTTGTCGCCGAATGTATTTATCATTGGGTGGCGTGAGTCACGGAACAATCGCCAGCTAATTGCAACACACCCCATCAATCGCACGCAGTGCCAAATGTCATCTCATGCAGCATGTATCTAGACAACATTTTGCGTGACCCTCTATCCCCAGCAACGCGTACTCAGCGTTGTGATTGGGCGAGACGACACATCCAGAATTATTGACAGGGACGCGCACTCCCCCGCCATTACGCCTTCCCCCAGTTCCAGTGCACCTCCCCCACAACTCCTCCGTCTCCCATTCCCTTACGAGGTCAAGTTTGTGCACCATCTTTGAAGTACAAATCTGTGATTTTCTCCCAGCCTCCGCTCCTTCTAGATCTAGATCTAGAAACCCTCTAGCCGCCAGCATGGCTCGTAAGCGTAAGGGGCACACCCTTAACGACTGCCCCAAGGATCTAAACGACATTCCGTACATCCGCTTGATGAACCAGCAGATCGCCAACGTGCGCCATCCTAGGGGATTATCCGCGCCGCCCGTGCTTGACGGCCAGGGATCCAGTGCACAGCTGCCCTCAGCGGCCCCGTCACGTGTGCGCCGTCAGCCTGCAAGGACGGCAGCAACGCACCGGCCAGTCGTGGAGCAGGACGATGACGATGCTGACGACGACAACCGCGACGAAGGCCGTCGACTCCGAAGACGAGGAGGAGGAACCAGGAGACCTTGGAATGTCGCGTAGCGACGACGACGACGACGATGAGGATGCCGAGGAGGACGCACCGGAGGAAGCACAGCCTGTCGCATCCTCGCCGAGACGGAGCGCCGCATGCGGACCAGGGTCCGATAAGGGCAAAGGCAAGTCGGCGCAACCTGCAGCACGCCCGGAGCCGCGGAAGAAACGGGCGGCAGCACCAGTCGAGTGGGGCTTATGGCCAGACAAGGAGAGCACCATTTTCGCAGCGGCGATATGGTTCATGAAGGAGGAGCTCGAGCCTCTCAAGGGGAAGCAGGGGACGCAATACTGGGTCCGGCTGCTCGCACACATCAAGGAGTCGAACCCCGGATGGTGCAGGGGAGTCAATGCACTGCAGAAGCAGTGGCGTAACTTGGTGCTCCTTTGGCGGGAGTACAAGCGTGCCGACGGGGGGTCGGGCAACGGCTCAGTGGAGAAACCACCATGGTATCCGTACCTGGAGCTGCACAACCAAGACACCGCCGCAGCCGCACCGCATGCGGTGGACGGAGGCGTCGCGACTAACATCAATGTGCCAGCCGTCATGGAGGTTCCAACTTCGTCCCAGCCAGGCACGTCAACACCATGCTTTACGGGTGAGTGTTCCTACTAGTCCACGTTGTTTGGTTCGCATGTCTCCCATACAAGTCGTAGTTTTAAGCTGCTGTTATGATTATCAGCAAATATGCACGATACATCATCATCGTGTGCACAGACTAATCTAACCTACTATCTTCCCCGCTCCTCTGTCACAGCTCTGCCACCGACGACCACTGCCACACCCAAGCGCGCGCGGGTGCATGAGACGGCTACCATGCAAGCGGCCATGCTGGTCTCCGCCACCATCAAGGACTGCCATGGTGATGCGATGACTCGCATTGAGGGCCTCGTCCGTGAATGGATGGCGCAAGACATGCAACTTGCCCGCGAGCGCATGACTGAATCGGCTCCCCCGGATGTGCACCGAGCGTCGCCGGATTTCTCCCCTCCTCCGCCACGCGGGGAGTCCGCGCCACCTCCCGAAGCTGCACAGCCGCGAGAAGATGTGGGCAACATCAACACCGTCACTCCGGCTATTGAGGATGTGGAGATATGGGTGCGGGGCCCCAACGATTAGCGTAAGAGTCCTGGAGTGCCTCACCAAGTCGTTTTTGCCTCTCCCTCAGTGCCTGTTGTGTTGGGGGAACACACAGTTCCCACTTGTGTGTCGCTGCTGCACCCCGCGTCCACCATGGATCGCGGTTGCGGGGAAGGTTCTCCCAGGCCATGTTCTTGCGCCTTACCTCTTGCATCTCTTCACACATGTTGTGCAGGATCACACAACACGCGGCCTCAGCAAGAATGCGCCACAACCTGCAGTTGTTGCACTGGGCGAAGATGCGCCATCTCCCTTTGAAGGCGCCGATGCACCTCTCCACCGCCATGCGTGTGGCGCTCTGACAGTAGTTGAAACATTGTGCCCAGTCGTCCATGAGGTCCTCTCCGCGTGGGGCATGCAGGGGTGTTAGGCAGTATTCTCGTAGAGGGTAGGCCGCGTCACCAACAATCTGGTATGGGGCTATGTCCCTGTTGTGTAACCTCTCAAGTAGTGCAGACTCTTTGAAAACCCGCATGTCGTGCGCGCTGCCGGGATAGCCGATTAGGTAGTCCCATATCCTGCCTCGTGCATCACACGTGAGCTGGAGTTGTACGGCATAGGCCGACTTCCTTGTCCAGTACTCCGCTCTGTGCCCTTCCATCCCTTTCATGTGGATATAAGTCCCGTCCACAGCCCCCACCACTGCAGGTACACCTTTGATGGCAGCAAATTCGCGCGCCATCTCGGGAAGCTCTTCACGTGTGGGGAAGCGCACCCAGGCGGCCTTGAAAACGGAAGGGAACTCGGTGAGGAACACGTCGACAAGCTTGTGGCAGAGTGTCTTGGAGACACCGAACAGGTACGACATGTCAACGTAGGAAATTCCTGACGCTAGGTACTTTAATGGGATGAGCACCGCGGTGTCCATTGTGAGTATTGACCAATGCACTATGGGCTCTAGATAGTGTTGCATCCAAGTCTTGATATGCTCAAGTATGGACCGGTTTATCCTGAAAAGGTCCTGGAAATCGTTCTCCCGCATGTGCTGCAGGTCTTCAACCCACAAAGCATGACGTCGCCGCCGTACTCTCGCTCTGTGACGGCGGTTCTCCCCGCAATCGTCCCCGAGCGATGAGGACTGCTCGTCCGCATCCTCGAAAACTCCCGACTCTATCAGGCCTACGAAGAACTTCGCGACATTTTGGTAGAAAATGGTGTAGTAGTAGGTGACCCAGGCAACGAGGAGGCGTAGGATGAAGGGGATGGCTCTAGGCTCTACTATAGTGTGTGGATTCTGAATGCGTAGTTATGCTGTATGTGCGTTGTTGGATTATGCATTCTCACTGCATAGGACAGGAGTAGGGAATGTACGTGCCGTTTTGGCAATTATTGGTAGCGCGGATGTGTACTGTATCCTCCGCAGCCTCCCCGTACATAACCAAGTATCTGCCGCGGGTCTGGAGGTGCCGGTGTTTGTGCTGCTGGAGTAGAAGTGTGCCAGAATGGACTTTGACCAATCACGGTGGGTCGCATATAATTGTCGCGCATATGAGCAGAGTCGCAATACATCGATCGATTGGGACATGCAGAATCGAGAAATTTGAGTGCGACTCGGCAAAATTGTGATTGGGACACATCGATTGGGACATATTCCACAGCGGAATGTACCCTAAGAGGGTGAAGGGATATAGGGCGGTGGTAAAGAAATATGTGGAATAAATTTTAAAAATACCTTACACCAGTAGTAAGTAATACATGTTGCCGCGTATCAGGAACTTGAGCGTGTTGCTGCGCGTGCATCGATGAGCGAGAACTTTTTCCACCTCGTCCTCTGGTTCATCCTGTATGAGAACAGGCGGTAGCTGGCGTCCCTAGAACTGTTGGTTGGGGTCCTTGTAGGGCTTTAGTAGCTAAACATGGAAAGCATTGTGAAGCTTCCACGTAGCAGGTAAGCGCAAGCGGAATGTTACTGGTGTCACCTCTGCCTCAACGCGAAAAGGACCACAGAAGCGAGGCCGGAGCTTGGACGGTAGGTGAGACAGGTTCAAGTTGCGCGTGTCAAGAAGCACCTGATCTCCGACTGCTACTAAGTGATCATGTTGCCGGCGATCGGCATACCGCTTCTGGGAGTTCTGCATCGTGGTGAGACGTAGCTGAGTCTTCTCCCATAGCTGCTACATGGTGGTGACGAAGTCGTGTGCGGCTTGGACGTGTGGCAGTGTGGTAAGATGCTGTGGTGTAAGTGGTTCTTGTCCGTAGCACAAGACGAAAGAAGTTTTCCCTGTGGCCGCGTGTCACGCGTTGTTGTAAGCAAACTCTAAGGTCGGTAACTGTGTGTCCCAGAGGCTGCCATCGTCTTAGCAAGCTGTGCGCAGTAACTGTTCAACCACCCGATTGAGTCGCTCTGTCTGTCCGACAGTCTCGGGGTGGTATGCTGAAGACATTGCAAGCTTTGTCCCCAACAGTTCCATGAGCTCCTTCCAGAACTTACTGGTGAATTTTGGGTCTCTGTCTGAGATGAGTGTAGCGGGGATGCAGTGGATGGTGATGATGCGGCCGAAAAAGAGGCAAGCAGTTGCTTCAGCTCTGTGGCGTTGGTCGGTATGAAGTGACCCATTTTGGAGAACTTATCGATCACCAAGAGAATGGAATCATGTCCCCTTGAGGTCGAAGGAAGTCCTACGATGAAGTCGAGGCTAACGACCTGCCATGGTTGCTCCAGTACATGTAGAGAATGAAGTACCCCTAATTTAATCTGCTTGCTGCTCTTCATCCGCTGGCACGTGTCGCATGAGGCGACGAACTGCTGCACGTTTGCTGCCATCCCGGGCCAGTAGTAATACTTCGCTATCCCTGCTAACGTCTTGTTGCTCCCGAAATTCCCGCGTACTGTACGTCGTGAAACTCCTCCAGCAGAATCTGTCAGAGCGGCATAGTGCGGTACCCAAATCTTTCTTGATCCCTTTCTTACAGCTAAGTCCTTCTCCCACTGTAACAGCTTCTTAGTGAGGTATGCGATGGGCTGCAAACTGCGTCCGTGATCCTGCATCAGTACTCCTTCGACTACTTGGTCACTAGCGTCTACTTCCACCGCGTAGTCTCTAACTGAATCCACTAGGATGAGTACTGGCGCTGTAATCAGTGCTGTCTGTAGCTGCTCCATGGCTTGCTGTTGAGGAGTATCCCATTTGTAGGGCGTATCCTTTTTCAGTAGGTTGGTCAGTGGCGCTGCTATCTTAGCGAATTGCGGCACGAACCTGTTATAGTAGTTGGCAAAGCCTAGGAGCTGCTGCAATTCCTTCACGTTCTCCGGTACTTTCCACTTCTTGACGGCTTCGATCTTCCGCAGGTCCACGTGTACGCCCTCCGCACTCACCATGTGCCCGAGAAACTGCACCTTTTTCAGGGCGATTTCGCTCTTTGACAGCTTCATGTAGAACTTGTTTTTCCGCACGATCTCGAACACCTTCCGCAGATCCCCCACGTGCTCCTTCATGTTTTTTGAGTATATTATGTGAAGAACGAGAAATGAATGAACTAAGAAAGAGATGGGTACAAGTAGGAAAACCTAGAAATATTGTACCCCATATGGTCTACCCCACTATAGCCTACACAGACTATAGCATATAAGTTTGACACACCCACATAGGCAAAGTGGGGGAGAACAAGAGGTCACAAGACCAGTCAAGCAAAGCAAAGCAAGCTCAGGGTGGATCACAATGTCACCACACATTCCGAGCACAAGAGCAAGGCCACAAGGTTAGTTCACATGCAAGATCATATATAAAGGTAAACAAGCAAGTGCAGGTATAGAAAGATCATAGTACAAGCAAGGTCAAGAAGTGAGCAAGTGAGGCCAAGTAGGCACAAGACCTAGCATGGTATAGAAGCGCTGATGATCACAAGCGCCTTGGTAAAGATATCAACAGTGTTGGCCTCAGAGGCCACGTAAGCAAGGCGCACCTGACCACGCTACTGCAGCTCACGAGCAAGGAAGTAGCGAAGAGCAATGTGCTTAGTTCTGTGCTCCAGTCTGTGCTCCCGACACAAGGCCAGCATGGCCTTGTTGTCTACGTACAGAAATGGAGGAGAACAAGGCGGCTCTCCTAGGTCACTCAGCACGTAGGTGAGCCAGCGTAGCTCCTGTGCAGCCATGGCCCCCGCGTAGATCTCAGCCTCACAGCTCGAGCCGAGAACAGAAGACGAGTGGGTAGACCGCCACGAGACAGAGCCGGAGCCAAGGTTGAAGGTGTAACCCTGTGACGACCGCTTCGTAGCCTGGTCGTCAGCCCAAGAAGCGTCTGCGTGACCTGTGAGGACCACTCATCCGAAGGCAGAGGTGAGAGCGAGTGGGGAGTAGACAGAGGAGTGGCCTGAGGCGAGGTAACGTGAAGTCGAAGCGCTGAAGGACCTGCTGCACCATGTGTGACTGAGTCAGAGTAATGGTGCACTATGCTCTGTCCCAGGTGATCTGCAAGCCAAGGTAGCTGCGCAGTTCACCCAGGTCTGTGCACGTGTGTCTCTTCTGCAGCTTAGACTTCACATGGGCGAGCCCAGCAATGTCAGCAGTGGCAAAGACCAAGTCGTCGACGTATACGAGGATGTAGAACGGCGGCAAAGAGGTGTCGGTGCGCAGAAACAGCGACGGGTCGGCTATAGAAGGAGCAAAGCCAAGAGCCGCAAGTGTAGTCCTCAGTGTGTCGTGCCACTTACAGGGCGCCTAGCAGAGACCGTAGACTGGCCGCCGGAGGCTCCACTGGGTACCAGGAGGAAACGACCCAGTGAAGCCAGGTGGGCGGTGCAGCCATATCTCCTCGTGCAGGCTGCCCTGCAGGAAAGCTGTGCTGAAGTCAAGAGAGTGAAGCTCGTAGTTGCGCTGAGTGGCTTTGTGCAGCAGCACCCAAAGAGTGGTCATCTTCGGGGTGGGAGAGAAGGTCTGAAAGTAGTCAACTCCTTGCCGCTGACTGAAGCCTCGAGCCACGTAACGCGCCTTGAAAACAAGCGGAGAACCCGGCGGCCGCTTCACCCTGAAAATCCAC